CACTAGGAACCTGCAGCCACTTTGCTCCTCCTCCCACACTCACCTGTCCTTGCAGCTGTCACCTCGAGGCCTCAGCACCTGAAGGAAGTGAGAAGCCACAGCGAAGTGGCACCACAGAACCACGACTCTCCAGCAGAAGCTTCTAGAAGCAAAAGGAGTATCCATAAGTAATTAAACTCACATGAATTCAGAGCCTGAGAGGCTCCAGTCGTGTTTCGCGGCTGCATTTCATAATTACCTGGAGAGCTTCCAAAAATACATGGATGCCGGAGACCCACCCCCCAGGCTCTGAACTGCCTGGAGTGGGACCAGGCACCAGCATTTTTAAAAGCCTTTTCCAGATGATTCTAATGTGTGCCCAGTATTCAGAGGCACTATCTTTATGTTTTTCTGTCTCAGAATGGGTATCAGAACTTAATGCTAATGAGACAGCACTTCAGAGTTTATCACCCCGCGTCTCAGAAAACCACTTTTCCTCTGTTGAGTGCCCCGACCCATAGAAGAAAAAATCAATAGTCTCAATGTACAAGTACAAAGTGGCTTAATTGAATTTTTTTACAGAAAGATAAAATCGAATCCATTTGTTTTAAATAAATAACAGGGGGCAAAGAAACGATGGTTCAGTGTGTGCCTACTGTATGCCATGATCTACTTTAAGCAGTTTTACACGTATTGTTTTATCTATCTCCCAAGCAACCCAGAAAGGCAAATAGAAACCCGTTTCTACTGTCGAGGAAACAAGCTCGGCGATGTGAACTTGGCTTGTCCAAGTCACAGAGCTGGCACCCAGGGTGCAGGAGGCACACAGACAAGGGCCTGCCTGCTGCCCTCAGCTGTCTTCTGTCTGTCAGGCCATGCTGCCCTGTCTAAGGAAAACCCGAGATATGATCCTTCACCACGCAATAGAAATGTTCTTTCCAAGTCAATGAAAGGGACAGATGGAGCTGGACCATCCAGAGCAGGGGAGAAGTGGAGGGTAAGTGTGGAGGACAGGCCAGCTAAGGGAAGGGTCAGGGAGGAGACATCAGCTGCACCCAGGAGGTGAGTAGCAGTGCAGGAGGCCAAATCACACCAAGGTCCACACTTTCCAGCAGATACTAGATGGTCAAGGCAGCAAACGCAGCCACGTGTCACTCTGTCCCGGACTGTGCCCTAAGGGTGCGTAAGACGCAGGCCTGCCTTACAGTTGCTTATAACCTCGCGTGGGGGGCAGACGTGCAGGCACCCAGGACAGGCCTTGCCTTGCCTGAGCAGAGGTAAGTCCGAGAACTGGGAGCAGAGACGAGGAAGCTGTTTGTGTGGGTGGGATAAAGCTCCCAGGCGAAGCTCGTCCGAGGTGGCTTTGAAACGAGGTAACTCCTTCACCGTGAAGGCAGGAGGAATGGCCAGAACTGAACCAGGGAAACAGAAGCTAGCAAGGTGTGTGCCTGAGACATGGACAAGGGCCCTTCACAGATTCCTGGGACGCAGGATCGTCACATCTTCACGGACTGTCTCCTTCCCCCAGGGCTGAGGTTGCACCTGTTGGCTCTGAATCTTCACGTGGTGCTCACCTGCAGTCACCTAGGAATGGTTCTGCCAGGTTCGCCCCAGTTCCTCCATCATTTGATGGTGGAATTCGATTCCCGTTCCCTCTCCCCACTGCCCACAGCTCTGTGCAGCCCGCATACACGCGGATCTCTGTTCCCTGTTAGGGTTCCAAATTGTAAGATTTTATCTAAAGCGCTTTCTTTTGGTCTCTATATCCCTTTCCTGATCACAGTTCAAATGAAAAGTTTAAAGTGAGCAAAGCTGAATTAATTTCTTAAGGAGTTCGGGAAGGCTGTCTTTGAGCTGGGAAACCAGCTTCCATTAACATACTTGGAATTCTAGGTGTTTCATCGAAGCCTGGAATTTTTTTTCCAGCTGCGTGAACCTTCATACTGTTGTCTTTAAAGCAGCTACTCCGTTTTATTTTAATTAGCAAAGTCTTTAGCAGGTTTTAAATAATAGTTTATCTTTATGAAAGAAAACTAGGGCAGAAACACTCTAAATCTACTCATTGGAATAAACTGAAGAGTCATTAAGTGCTTTCCAACAAGATTTAGACAGCTCATCAGAATAAATATAGATTTCATCTCCCGCTTTCTATATCATCTTAAACAACAGAGCAAAGGTACAATGCTTGAATAAGGACACACAGTCTGAAAATATTCTAAATATACTGAAATCACTGCAGCTCCTTTCACTTTGCATAGTTTCAAAACAGTTACAATTTGTATGGTGTACCTGTTAAAGGCTGTCTAATAGCCAGGAATAGGACAGCACTCAGGAATTTATTGCTTTACCTAGACTCAGATGGTGCCTGTGAAGGTATGACTGAACCAGTCAGAGGATTCCACACGAGTACAAGCTGAAGTAACTTCTTGAAAGCTGAAGCCAGTCCTCATTCTTATGAAGTAATTCATTCAATTTAGATTAAAAGGACTCTTCTTTCCAGAAAGTTAACTGGTTTTAATAACAGATGTAGTCCCTATTCTATTTGATATTTTAAAGATGTTCAAAAAGAAACATAAATAACTTGAAACAACACAGACGTAAGCCGTTTAAAGAGACAGCAGACATAATTTCTATGTCTTTCTCAATCTAGGGTCTGGGGCATCCATTAGGTGACTCCTTTGGTTGCTGCCATTAACCTAGAACAAGGGCAGGTGCATGATTCTTGCATCTGTCCTGGTTACCTAACTCCCAGCCAGTGCTCTGCCTCCCATAGCCTCCATTCCTTAGCGCCCTGGTGCTGACCTCAGGGCTGCAAAAGGAGATCAATTTCCAGACCCAATCCCAGAAAGTAAATACACAAAGATGTAGCATATGCTTAGATTCATTCTTCGATTTCTTGAATCACAAAATGTTGGTGCTAAGAGGTATCTTAGAAGTTATCAGTTTCAAACTCTCCACGGTAGAGTAAGCCCCAGAGTCATTAAGTGACTTTCTCAAGGTCACACAGCTAGTTAGTGACACAATGGGGCCTGTAACCAGCCACTCCCTCTGGGTGTGTGCTCTGTTCCCTGCTGCTCGGTGAGGTCTGAGAGCCACTTCCTCTGAGATTAGCTGCTATATACCATATTAGATCCCTGCTGCTCAGTGAGGACTGCAGACCAGCAGTATCAGCATTGCTTCAGAGCTTGTTAGAAGGGCAGGCTTTCAGGCTCCACCCAAGACCTTTAAAGCTGAATGTGCATTGCAACAAATCTTTCTCTGCGTCACTCAGGCTGCGGTGGTACACTGACAAGCACAGCTCACTGCAGTCTGGAACTCCCAGGCTAAAGCTCTCTTCCCACCTTAGCCTCCGTGCAGCTGGTGTTGCAGGCAAACACTACCACGCCTGGCTAATTTTGTTTATTTTTCATTTTATGTAGAGTCAGGATCTTGCAAAGCTGCCAGGTCTGGTCTCAAACTCCTGGACTCAAGCGATCCTCCCAACTAGGCCTCCCAAACTGCTGGGATTAGAGGCATGAGCCACCACAGCTGGCCCAGATCTTGAGGTGATTCACGTGCACATTACAGAACCGAAGCCAAGCCGGGCTTGTTGTCACAGATCTGTAGTCCCAACTACTGCAGAAGCTGAGGAGGTGAGATTTCCTGGACCCAGGAGTTTGAGGCTGCAGTGAGCTATGATTGTGCATGTGATTAGCACTGCATTCCTGCCTGGGAAATACGGCAGTCCTCGTCTCTAAAGGACACATTTTTAATTTAAAAACCTAAAATGCAATAAATTTAAAAAAAAACTGTAAGAATTGAAGGCAAGTAGATGTTGGATTGAAGCATGGTTCTACCTCTTCTAAATGTAAGCAAAAATCTCAAAATCCTGAAAGCAGCATTTAGAATCTGGAAATGACATCACTACCCACCTTGCAGAGTTTTCACTGTATAAAGCGCAACATAGATACATGCAAATGCATTTCATGAAGTATGTATGTGCATAAGTACGTGGCATATAGTAGCCGATATGTTATATAGTAGCTAATCTAACATGGTATATAGTAGCTATTCTAATATAGTATATAGTAGCTAATCTCTGATATGGGATATAATAGCTAATCCAATATGGTCACAGTAGCTAATGTTATTTCCATCTCATGCTTTTCATTAATATTGTGCTTAACCAGACGTAAAGCCACTAATGACTATGCATCCATGAAGGAACTTCCAGTCTTCCTACCTTTGTTCTATCATGTTAAATATCATTTAATTTTTACATGTGATTAAGACTTCTTTATTTAATGTTCCTGGTGCCCAAGAAAATTATTATTATCTGAAAAACAAATAATAATAGCTAACTACTTTTAGTGCTGTGCATAGGGAGGAAAGAACTTCTCCTGAAGCCAAGTCATAACCAAAACTACACAGCGTTCTTAAAATACCTTGACTCTTGATTCTATAAACCTGGTCTCCAGAAGCCAGTATCCACTGCCACGGGTACTGTTAAGTTTCTTAGGCACAGACTCAACTGCCATAAGCAGAAGCCACAACATTAGCAGAAGTGGGGCACAGTTGCAAGATGACGCTTCGTCACCAACATGTCACACTTGTCAGCACTTAAAAAAAAAAAACAGATAGAAGAGGAAAGAAGAAGTCGAATTTTAGGATCCAAATCTGAACTAAACTTTTGGAAAAATACAGCATAGTACAGAGTATGAAACCATATCAAAGTGATGTTTTGAAGGAGATATTTTGGGGAAAATGTGATTTTAACATCAATTAGGAAATCATGTTTGCCGAAGGCAGTGACTCTCAACCCCAGCAGTGTGTTACAATCAGCTAAGGGAGCTTTAAAAAGATCGAATGCAAATTCCCGAGAGGCACCAGGCTCTAGTGTTTTTTAAAAACTTCCCAGTCGATTTTAACGTGCAGCCGGGATTGAGAACCTCTGCCCATGGCCGCAAAGCCCCGGTGTTGTTTCAGAGTCGGTCCACGGAGAGCTCTTCCTGGCTGTTAACTCCAGTGTGTGCCTCTTCTAGGTCTTTCTGCCAAGCCTCCGGGACACCCACCACAAGGAGAGGAGACCCTGGCCCAACATCCTCTAAGATGTTTATATGGACCAGCGGCCGGACGTCTTCTTCGTACAGACATGACGAGAAAAGGTAAATGCACTGGGATTCTGGGCCCTCTTGAGAGCATGTGACCTGACTCTCCCACGAGGATGTTACAGGAAGGTGTGATTCAGGCAGCTGAGCCTTGGCCCTGCAGGTGAGGACGGACTCTGCACTGAGGAGCAGGGCTCAGCATGCTGCCCTCCGTCTCCCCACACGTTACATGCTCACTTTCAACCGTAGCTCTGCAAAAGCTGTTCCCTGTCACAAGCTCTTTGCTTGGCCAACGCTGGCTCAGCCTTCCAGTTTCCAGTAAGAACCAGCACTCCCCACACCCTCTTTAACCAGACAGACAGTGTCGCTGGATTTCCAGTGCTGAGCACTGTACCTGGCCCGCGGTGCTCAAAAGACACTGAGCACCAGATGGTTTAATAATAATTTACTCATCGAATTAATTAATAACAACTAAATAAACAATATGGTTAATAAAATGATAAACACGGAGAACCACTGGCAGCTCAGTTTCTTCTTCTGAAGTGATGAAAACTGCATTTCTGGGCACTGGATATATGGCGGGGGGTGGGAAACAGAAACTATGGGAAGAGGAAAAGAGGGCAGACAGATTCATTGAGGCCTCAAAATCCTTGGGAGAACAGCCTGGGGGAGGGAAAGATGAGGGAGTGGAGGAAGGACGGAGGGCAGACCAGCGCTGATGAAAGACACGATGACCTTATGCAGCTCAGTCCAGTCCTCAAACCTGGGTTCAGGGAGTGAATGTATTCGTCAAATCCTCCAGTCGTTTTTAAATATTTAGTCTCCCTCTTCCTCATTGACCTTGTACTATTATTTGGGTTACGTGGAGATAAATGTTAAATATAACTGCCTTTACCAGCATATTGCAGCTTAAGCAAGTTGCACATCAGGCAGAATCTGATAGAAATTAGATTGATTTGGTTGAAGGGTATTTGTGAAAAACTAAAATTAAAATTAAAAATTACAGTTGATCAGTAGTGCTGGACACAAGGAGAAGAAACTGAAGGGGGTTTGCTTGAATACTGTTTTCAGAGCTGATACGTTTATTTTCCTTCTGAAACCTGACTTCCCCACAGATAAAAATTCTGTAAAAATTTCAAAAGGAAAGTTGTTCTTCACAATGATTATATATTACAGCAAAAATTGGGAAGCAACTTGAAAATTCACCACAGAAAATCTGCTAAATAAATCATTGAATATAATATACCACTTAGCACTTTAAAATGCTCTGACATTAACCGAAAAAGCCAGTCGAAAATTTGCATACAAACTATGATTGCAGCCACAAAAAACACACAAAGGCAAAAAAGTCTGGAAGAAATAGCATGGTTTTCACTGCTCTGCTTTCCAAATGTTTTGTAATATGTTGTTACCTTAATTATGGAAAAATAATTATATGATATTTAAGTAAAATTAGAGCCCAGAAGGCAACTAGCATTTGAACAGAGCCCCTCAGCTCTCCGTGGGGCCAAGCAGATTAGCTGAAAACTTGCTTTACATGATCTTCCCTAGGCTTCCACTGCTTTTTTCCAAGGCTCAATCAAATTATTTTCCATTTATTTCCAAATTGTATTCAAATTTTCAATTGAATAATCTTTCAGCCAGATCTTTTCTGTAACACTATAAAATTTCATGTGTCATTTCAAATTCCATATTTGAAAGTGCAGAAGAGCAGAGATTTGGTCCTGAGACTTTCCTGCCAGGACCAAATCCAAGAATCGTGCTGCCTGCAGGAATATTGCAACTGTCAACAGCCAACTCTCCTGAAACTCTGAAGGCTTTATTAGAGCACGTGAAGTATAATGCATTTGTCTCACCTTCTGTTTACCCCCATCAAATCATTTAATACATTTTGCTGCTTTTTATGAACAAAGGAATTAACCTTTAAGAAGCAGTTACTGTGGACTGTTGGTTTTAATTGTGATCTCTTAACTTGTAAGACAGAGATTATTACTGCCCGCTTCACAGATGAGGAAACTGAGGCATTTTAAATAACTGAGAGATTTTAAATAACTTCCAAAGGCCCAACAACTAGCCAGTGATGGAATCAGGATTTGACCCAAGCTGGCGTGCTCTTCCCTGCACCCCAGTACCCACACAGGCTCCTGTCAAACTTGAAATATCTGGAGTGACAGTGAACACCCACTCCCACAAGGGGAAGAGTTGTTAAAGCAGAGTTGGATGCTGTATATCACAGATGATGATAAACCCATCAACATTTGTGGAGCTTGAAAGGTGTGAACAGTTAGCTTAGTATTCTGCATCAGTAGGATTCTATGAAACTTAAATTACTGTTTTTTATGTTCAAAGTATCATTTCAGAATGATGGAATTTATGATAATTAAAATACGACTATGAGGAAATCATTTTCAAGCTTTATTTATGGATGGGGGTGCAAACGCTTATTAAATAAGTCAGCAGGGCCCACAAATACGTGGAATCGGCCATTCAGCTGGTATCCTTGGTTTAATGGTGGACTTCCTTTGTCTCTGCCTTTTTTCTTGACAACCTCTTCATCTTTGCTGTTTAATTCATAAATTCTTGGAAGAGAAGATTCAGATTTTAAACTGACTTTGAGCAGTATGTGTGGCTCTGTTTAAGATGCTCTTGGTGGCAGTAGTCATGGTGATAATGAAGATGATGATGGCTGATAATAAAGCTACATAATTAAGGTCCTCACATTAATTATTTGGAAATAAATTAACTAGATTGTCTAACAGCACTGCCTGAAATTGCTGTTAATTCAGTGTCTTCTCATTCTGCAAACCTGGGCTCTGCATGTGCCCGGTTTCTCCAGCTGTGTTCTTACAGCAAACCAAGAGGCCGGGCCATCCAAAGTCCTCAGCTGCTCCACAGTGCCTCTTCCTGAGACCAGAGCCAAATATGTCAGGATATTGGATTCCCTGGGATTCCTCAGATAGTAGATACCAGGAAACCAGCTCAAGGACAGGCAGAACAACTTAATAGAAGGAAAAGTTAAATTCCGAAACCAAATGTCTTCTTGCTCAGAAGACATGGAAGTCAGTTTTACTTTTTTCTTCCTTACTTTAATTCAAAGCCAGACCTTTTTCTAATCATCTCCTATAGGCAAAATGTAAGTTCCTATTTTCATCTTCCATTCTACAACCCAGCAATATGAAGAAGTATTTTTTATTCTGTAAACAAACTACTTTGTTAGTTGAACTTAATTTAATTTCAAGCAGAAGAAAAAAAACAGAATAACTAGAAATTAAAGAAGAGAAAGGTTTTAAAGTTAAGGGCATTACAGATTGTTTATCAAATATTCTTTAAATTGTTTTCATTAAATATTAAAGTGAAGCAAAGGAATATTTATTACATATGTTATATACAAAAAAAGATATTATATACATCCAGATCCCCATCATTTAGCTTAAAAAACAAAACAATTGGAATTTTTGAAGCCCTTGAGGATGCTTTCCTAATACGATTCTACTTCCCATCGCAGCCCCCACCCAGAGATAATCACCATCCTCAATTTTGGGTATATCATTCTCTGGTTTGGTTTTTTTCGTGAGTTTATCACATTCGAACCTTTAAACAATATATTGTTTGTATCTGAATGTTTGGAGACTTCATATAAATGGAACCATGCCATATTTATTCTGCAACTTGCTTTTCCCGAAACGTTGCGTTGCTGTGACCTGACAGTGCCCGCATGAGTCACATGGCTCGTGTTCTCTGCTCTGCGGGGTCCACGGCATGACCCTCCTACCGTGATTCACCCGGTCTACTGCTGATGGATGTTTGAGTTATTCCCAGTTCTTCTGTCTTTACCTGCAGTGCTGCTGTCTCTTTGTGCCCATGTGTGATCCTGCTTCAGACTTAAACCTAACATGGGAATGGTTGGTTCGATACACAGCTTTAATTTTACCAAGCTGTGGTTTTTCCAAAGCAGCCACATATGCAATTCCCATTCCTCACAGCCTTGTTTAGAGTTTTCAGATTTCTAATTTTCATTAATCCAGAGGGTACTATGATTTTAATTTTTATTTCTCAGATTAGTAATGAGATTGCATCTATTTCTTTAGTCCTTTTCTCTGAGTGGACTGCTTAAATATTTGGCCGAATTTGGTCAAATACTTGACTGTTTATTGCAATTATCTCATTAGATTTATATTTAAGTAACATTTTGTGTCAATTATAATCATATCCCTTATCATGTTTCTACTGGATTGTTTATCTTTCACTAGGCTTGTAGGAATTATTTATAAAAGTCCATATTAATTCTTTATCTGCTGTATCTATGTGAATAGCTTCTCCCTGTTTGTGGTCTGGCTTTTCACTTTCTTTACCATGTATTTTGATAAATATATTAACATATTCTTCGTTTTAACAGTATTCTAAATTAACAATTTTTGAAATATTTTGAAATCCCCTCCTACTCCAGATTCAAATAGGTAACTTCCTGCACAGTTTTCTAAATATTTTGTAGCATTATCTTTCGCAATTAAGGATTTAGTCATCTGGAATTTATATCCAATTGCCCCAGCACCATTTATTGGAGAATTTATCCTTTCCCCGTTGAGCTAAAATCACATATCGTATATTACATTTCCATATGTACATGGATATGTCTTTGAATCTCTCTTCTGTTCCACTGGCCAGTTTTGTCAATCTCAGACAAACGCCACACTCTAGTTTACAAATTTTAGCATTATGCCTGTAATACATCTTGATACTTGATAGGACGAGTCACTCATCTTGTTATTTTGTAGTCAGAAGTGCATTTACTATTCTTAGACACTTGCACTTTCAGGTAAGTTTTAAAATCAGGTTGGCAAGTCACACCTATCACACTTCCCCCCCCCCCAAAAAAAAAAACCTCAGGATTTTTATTAGAATTTTATAAAATTAATTTGTGATAAATTTACATCTTTATGTCACCAAGTCTTTCTCTGAATGAATATGATTAACCTCTACATGGGTTTGTCTTCCCTAATATCTCCTGATAAAGTTCTACATTCTAAGAAAAAGTGTACATCACTTATTAGATTTAT